TATGCTCCTAATGCCTCAGTGAATACACATGGGAACTCAGATGCCAGTTCATCTAGTATTGCTAGACAGACACTATGTACTCCTTGAACATGGATTCCCAAGGGTGTGAACCAGTTTCTTCCCAGCAGGCTTTTACGAATCCCTTTAATAACTAGCAAGGATAATGTCTGTCTGACAGGTCCACAGTGAACATCTACATCACAGTTTCCAAGGATCTGAACAATCTGTCCATTTTAGTCACAAAGGTGACATTCTGATTTGTGTAATTTGGAATAGCTGTGAAAATTAGTTGCTGTCTATGATGGTGGATCCAGCCCCAGAGACAACTTCCATTTCACACTTCTGACCATTTATCTCTACAGTGGCAATCATTTCTGGACACTGACCCTCAACAGTGTGAATATGTTGAATAGAGTACAATGTCTGTACTTTTTCCTCAGGGAAACCCTCCAAATTATGGGCAGTTTGAAGCTGGGTACCTTTTCACTGCTCTCTTTGTTTCCTGGGATTAGCCCTTGACTGACAAACCTTTTCTATGTGACCCCTTTTTTTGGAAAGTGTGACACTCAGCATTCCTGAATCTGCATGCACTTCATTTTATGTTGCCCTCCACAGCTTAAATATATAGATGCATTACTTTATTTACATAATCCCACTGATGTAGATGTGAGCCTCTGGACTTGCTCCTGATTCCTGAGGTTTTTTTGGAGAATGTGGGTGTCAATCGGGTTCCTGTTACGAATTTCTCTGACATTACATGAAGTGGCTTCAGCTGCTAATGCTTGTTGCTGTGCTGCAGCAAAAGTCAGATTCTATTCAGAGAGGAGGCACCGCTGGATGGCCTCATCCTTAATTCCACAGATGAGCCTATCTCGTAACAAGCCTTCCAGAAGATCCCAAATTGATAATGTTCAGCAAGGTAATGGATCTCTGTAATGTATTCTGCTAATTTTCATTGGCTTGCTGATCACACTTAAAAAAACAGAACCTCTGTAGAGTAACAGATGCTGTGGGGCAAAAATGTGTCTTCAACACAGCTATCAGTTCATCATAAGTTTTTGTACTTGGTGCAGCAGGTGCCATCAGAGAACGAACAACAGCAAACGTTTTTTCTCCATAGACAATAAAATTGCACGCTTTTGTTCTGCCCCTTCAGTCTTATTAGCTTGTAGATAGTAAGATAGTCTTTCTGTATACCAGTCCCAAGTAGGGTTGCCAACTCACGAAAATGTAGCGGCGGGGGAGAGCCCAGCCGGTCCGGGAGCCTCTTCCAAATGTCCTCGTGCGCGCGCTTTGCGCGCTTTGCGCCGCCGGCGCGTCACCGGAAGTGACGTCACGCGCTGGGCGGGGCCACGCCATTTGAGGGCAAGAGGCAGGTTGACATAAATCAAATTCTTCTATATGGCCCAGTGCAGCCATTTCTGTAGTGAGTCAACACTAATGTGGAAGGCAAGGAACAAGCTTAGTCTGATCTCAACTAATTCCCACAGTTTCCTGGGTGTTTTAATAGCAGGGGAAACCTACCTTCATCGCCATGTTTTGTGTAGTGGAGCAAACAACAAAACACCCTGTTCCATTTGGCTGAAGGCCTCTTTATTAACAGTAACTGTAGGTCAGGTAACTGGGCTATTGGAATAAGGAATAACAATACTTAACTAAGCTGTTTCTAGAGCTGTAGGCCAGGATTGTCCTGGCCTGGTTCTGCACATTCTTAGTAGGCCTTGCACTTATGCAGGTTGCTAGCAGGGAGACTGAGAAGAGAAGCACTGAGTCCCTGCTATTCTCTTGCTTTCTCTGAGGCCTACTGGGAGAGCCTCTTAAAGAGGCAGTACATAACAGAAGTAATCCAATTGCCAGGGCATGCACCATGGTGGACAGATCTTTTCTGCCTGGGAAAAGCTAACCAGCAGTAGGCCTGGGTCCAATAGCACCCCTAGACTACAGACATGTTCCTTAAAGGGAATGCAAACCCATCCAGAACAGGTGATACCTTAAATCCTGGGTTAGACCTTCCACCCACTAGTAGCACTCCCATCTTGTTCAGATTAAGCTTCAGTTTATTAGGCACATCCACTCCAAAACTATCTTCAGGCACTGGGATCAGCAGGATGTGAGAGACAGTGGAGTATCATCCAAATATAGGTGACAACCCGGGCCAAATCACTGGGTGACCTCACACAGTGGTTTCATGTAGATGTTAAAGAGCATAGGGAACAAAATGGAAACTTTCGGGACCCCAGAGACCAAAGGCTATGGGGCGGAACAGCAGTCCCCCAGCACCACCTTCTGAAACCTACCCTCCAGGTACGACCAGAACCAACACAGAATGGTGCCTCCCAATCCCTGTCCAGATAGCCAGTTCAAAATGATACCATGATTGATGTTATTGAAAGCAGCCCAGAGGTCCAGCAGAATTAACAAAATCATACTTCCTTGTTTATCTCCCAGTGGAAGTCATCCAACATACCGACCAAGGCTGTTTTGGTCCCATACAAAGGCCTAAACTCAGATTGCCTCATCCAGGAAAGTTTGGAGTTGTCCAGCCACCACCCATTCAATCTCAAGAATGCTCAAGGATGGAGCATTGGACAATTATGGAGATCTCCTGGATCCAAAGGAAGACCCAAAATTCAGCGTAAATTTTGGGGATTGCACAGGTGCTAATGGCCCGGAAGATCCACTTCCACAAACCCTTTCCATTTGTGGGAGTTTGGATCCAATCAATTTTTTGAATTTACACTTAATTTAACTTAGAATTTGATTTAAATACATGTGTACAAAATCCCTTCAGGCTCCCCAGTTGATCTCTGGGCAAAAAACAAAAGGAGAGACTAGAAAGACTTAATATTTCACACCATTTTTTAAAAAAATCTTTCAGTTCAACTGATTTTACAAAAGCTGGCTCTGTTCAGTCCTTGTTGGGATTCTTTCCCTGATAGTGTGATGAATGAACTATTGACTTGTGCCTACACATCTCTGCAGTACAGCAGTAAACTGCTTATTTAACAATTAGTCAAGAAGTGTGGCATACTTAAGAAAAGATCATTTATTTTTTGTTTATCAGTTGGGGCAGCAAGAGCTGGTTCTCACACTCCCCCGAATGAAATATTGGAGGTTAAGAGCTCCAGGAATGTCTAGGCTTGATTTAATGAAGTTTGATTGCTCTACTCACACTACATGTGTTTACTTCCAGATTGTGTTAAAGAGCAGTAACTGATTCTTATGCTCCACTGGCATTTTAAATAAACAGAGGAAGAAAAGGATTACGCTCCAGTTTTAAATCATTTTGGTACCTGAAGATATTATTCAAAAATACTACATTATTTAAAAATGAAAAACAAATGTAATAAAACAGAATATTATTCTAGTTGTTTTTTTAAGGTTAGATTATTCTTTACATTATTTTTATAGATTGGAATACATTTGTAGATTTATGGAATGATAGATTTAGGTAAAATAAACTAAAGAAAATTCAAAACATCAGAATGTACACCATTGTAATGAATTCTGAAGGGTGGAATTATGTTAAGGATTATTATTATGGTATATCAGGATGTGTAAAACTTGTTAAGGATATCATGTTACAATTTCTGCGAGGTTGGATGTGGTGATTTTAAGAGGGTTTTCTATGGTAGCATTATATTTATATTATAACTAGGAGTAAGGTCCATTGTGGGAAGAAATACAACGAGCTCTAGAAAGAGGCTCCAGGTGAGTGTCCTGGCTGTGGCTTGGTGGGGCGGTGGAGGGAAGGGAAAAATAGAGGGAAGTGAGCCATGTTTACTTCCTTCTGCTTAGCTATAAGACAAGGCTGTCTCATGTCATTTTGCAGCCCCAAGTGGGTAGTATGGGAGGAGAGCCACATGCCATGTTTTCTAGATTTCAAGGGTATGAAAAGTGGTTCCATAGCCAGTTACAGGCTTGCCAACTCTGGGTTGGGAAATACCTGTAGATTTGAGGGGTAGAGCCTGGGGAGGGCAGGGTTTGGGATGAGGAGGAACCTCAGCAGGGTATAATGCAATAGAGTCCACTGACCAAAGCAGCCATTTTCTCCAGGAGATCTGATCTTGGAGATCTCCAGGTATCACCCAGTGGTTGGCAATACTAAGGGAAGGGCCAGGTTTGCTGAAGGACTTCAGTGAAGTATAATGCCATAGAGCTCACCTTCCAAAGCAACCATTTTCTCCATGGGGACTGATCTCTGTAGTCTGGAGATCAATTGTAATTCAGAGAGATGACTCCCTGCTAATGCCCCATGGCCTCTTGGGACTCCCAACTTGGGATTTGTATTTCTAATTGCCTTTGCGATGGTTGCAGTAAGGCCAGCTGAGAACTACAACTCCCAAGGTGCAGCACGCCAAAAGTGGGGGTATAAGAATGGAGGAGCCAACGGGATGGGCCAACAGGACACCAAGGCAGCTTCCCCAGTGGCCAGTAGGTAAGTAGGTGAGTTGTCACCAGCACAGCTTGCCACATATATATATGTGTGTGTGTATTATATATTATTTTAAATTAACTCACTCTCAAATTGGTATTGATATGTTTACTAATAAAACAGGAAAATGTTTAAAAGATCCAAAACAAAGTGATTTGAGAGCGTTTTTAAAAAATCAAGCGATTCCGAAATGTTCCCATGCTCATCCATCCTTCTCTTACAAGCTACAGCAGAATGAGACAGCACTATCAAGTAAGTAATGTCCAAACACTGTCGTGCGTATGGACTGTACCAAAGCTCAGTACTTCTAATTAAGTAGGTTTACAGTGCAGCTACTCCTGTAGAAGCCTAAGACAAAAGGATTAAACACATAGAGGAACAAGCCCTCCTAAGGAAGAATCAGTATAGCTTTAGTAAGTTCTTTGAAAAAGTTAGCACAAATATGGACTAACATGAACACCTAGAGGGCATTTATCTAGTGGTAACAGTTATTAACAACATAGTTTTAAAGACAAATCTCCTCTTTGGTTAAATATTAAATGACACACCAATGAATTAAACTTACCCATACAAGCAGCAAAAGATTTCTTTTTACTGTTCCACAATACCCCAACATCCCGACAATAATCAGGAAGCAGCAGACTGCAATCATGACTGGATGAACTACAGGAAAATAAGTGGAAACAACAGCTTCCTCTACCCTGAAAGCAAATGAAATTGAGGGTCAGAGAAATAGAAGTCAACCAGGCTTCCCTGTTCTTTTGTTCAAATAACCCAGAAAAAAGTAGCCAGACTTGGCACTTTCACACATGCTAAATAATGCAGTTTTAATCCACTTCAGCAATCATTTGCAAGTGCATTTTGCCATTTTACACAGCATTGCAAAGTGCATTTTAAGTCTGTTATTTAATGTGTGTGAAAGCACCCTATTATGAAACTGTCATGTATTCTGGGTCTATATGGAAACAGTATAGAAGAATGATTTTCAGAGGAGCCCCACCTCCTAGGCTGCAAGCACCTACTGAGCTATTTCTTCTTGCTTCTTTTAGGAAGCACAAAGGACCAAAAGGAAGAAAGTTGCTCATCCAATTTAAATTCATATTTCTGCAAAGTAAGTGAATACAGTATACTTGGGAAAACGTAGAGCCCTCATCAATTCGTAATAGTGAAAGAACAGAGTTAGATGGTAATCCTTGATGGGAGAATAGGGATATTACAATTTTACAACTGAAATGTTGGAGGACACTCTCAAATATTCAGTGACAAGGGGATGAATATGTCAAAGTGCTATATAGATTTGAATAGGAAAAGAAAGAGACCTAATTGTGAGGCTATCTAAACCCTTACTTCAGCTGAACAAACCTTTAATGCTCTCAAACTCCTGGGCTGTTCTTCTCAGCAACCGAAAATGAAAATTAGAAAGGAGTAGGACTGTAGAGTCCTGCTTTAAAGAGCATGTAAACCTACACATAAATAGGTTGTTCATAACACTGTTAACAGAGATCACAATATCCCTTTCTAGGTTTCTTGCATCCACCACAGAAAGAAGACTTCCTTTTCATAATGCAGAAGAGAGAATTCTGGGATGACCTCACACCCTCACAGAATACAACCCTGCCACGTGGGGAGAAATAATGCATCCAAAACAATTTAACCAAAAGCATCCACAATACAGTCATTAGATCACCAACCATGATAAAGGTAAAGGGTCCCTTGCTCGAAAGCCAGTCGAATCCGACTCTAGGGTTGTGGTGCTCATCTCTATTTCAAAGCTGAAGAGCCAGCGCTGTCCAAAGACATTTCCGTGGTCATGTGGCCGGCATGACTAAACACCAAGGCGCACGGAACGCTGTTACCTTCCCACTGAAGTGGTACCTATTTATCTACTTGCAATTTCTTGCTTTCGAACTGCTAGGTTGGCAGGAGCTGGAACTAGAGACGGGAGCTCACTCCGTCATGCAGCACACTCGAGTCTCGAACTACTGAACTACTGACCTTCCACAGTCTGCAGTTCAGCGTCTTAACCACTTGAGCCACTGCAGCCATGGACAGAACCATATTTCTGGTGACCAGCAGGAAAAGTCTCCAGCATATTCCACAAGAGGAGTATTTAGAAGCTGCCAGCAATACAAGGACACAAAGTCCATAGCTATATCCTTTGCTGGAATACAGCAGCAGTGTCAGGAATTGAGAAGAACAGTTTTCTATATCCACCCACACGCAAACACTACACCTGCTGCTCCTCCACTGTAAAAATCCCTTCCCAAACAATGAGCACAAAAATGATACCTGGCTACTGGAAACAATGGCTGGCTACCAAGGCCAATCAACATTTGTGAACTCCAAGCACATATATCTTTGTTCATGTAAGCATGTCAGCAGTATTCCATTTAACTGGGGTAAACAAATGGTAAGTTTTTTAAATCTGCTTCCTTTCCCCCACATAATGAATCTTTATTTGAAAGATGAAATTTACTCTCTGCCTTAACACCTCCTCCTCCAGCACCCTGCCCTATAAGCAGAATTCCCACTTTGATTTCCATACACACCAGAAGAAGTGAGTAGTGACTTACAAAAGCTCATAATGAAATAAACACTGTTGGTCTTTTAGGTGCCCCTGGACATTTGTTTTCTTTTTCTACAATAGACTAATACCGCTACCCCTTCACAAATTTTAAAATCAGCATTAGTCTACAAAACATAGCATTCATTGTCCTTATCAAGGATGGTGATACTAACATGATGATGTATTCATTTTGATTTGATGCTGTGTCATTCATATTCCAGCAGGCTTTTATTGCAAAAGCAAATTCACGGTATTAACCATAGTTCTCAGAGGTGGGGGGAAGCCCTTTTCTGAGGTGGCCTGGTATCATTAAACAACAGATTTTCCTGTGTAGACTGCCAGAGCCAACAGACAAACTCTGCATCATTCACTTCCCAGGCTTTGTAGCATGAAGGGTTTGTGTTGGCAGTCACAAATGACCGGTGGCCATTTCACAATTTATGTTGCAATCACATTTGTAGCGTACAATGGCATGTTCAACAGCAAATTCTGTACAGCCTGAAGGGGAGCCGCAGACACACATCAGATAGTGGGGAGGGAGCTGAAATGGGAGGCAGCTGGCGGCAGCTGCTTGATTCATGGCCACTGTGGGATTATAAAAGACATTTAGGAGTGGTCAGTTGTGATCCCAGCTGTGGAATACACGGTCTGCCACATCAACTCAAGCCTGCTATCTTATGTGAAGGGAGTTTTTATCAGATGATTTTTGTGGAGTTCCCTCTATACTGATTCTTATAATATATGGAAGCAGGGTGGAAAATACCATTTTTCTCTGAAGACCATGTGCCCCTACTGTTTGGAGGACTGATGACCACAAAAGAAATGATGCTGTAGCTTGGAAATTGCCATCCAAGGAAAATCCACTTTGGGCCATCTTTACGCGCTTTCTACCATATGCATAAAATTGGTCCTTTTGCTGATCATACTGCTAACCAGTAATTATAGGTTGGTCTTTCATGCTGGTTTTAATGAGGTTGATGACAGATCAAGACTGTCTAATGGCTGAGAGCCTTGTGTGTTTTTGTAGTTGAAATGTAGGGTTGTTAAATCCACTCTGAGGGTTCTTTTTTAATGGAAATATGGGCTATAACTAAAGGAATATGTCAAAAAGCAAATAATGGTGCACTCACTCCTGAAGAAACCTATTCTGGACCTAGAAGAGTTGAATAACTACTGCCCAATCCTAAATGTACTATTCTTGAGCAAGATGACTGAACAAGTGGCAGCTGACTCCTGAATGAAGAAAATTGTTTAGATCCATTCCAATCTGGTTTCAGGCCTGGTTATGGGACTGAAACGGCCTTGGGTCGCCCAGGAGCATGACATGTGTGGGTGGAGGGACAGGGGAGTGTAACTCTGTTAATTCTCCTGGAACTCTTGGCAGTTTTCAATATCATCAATCATGTCCTTCTGGATTGCCTTTTGGGACTAGGAGGCACTGTTCTGCAGTGGTTCCAGTCCTACCTCAAGGGTAGGTTTCAAAGTGTGGTGCTGGAGGACTGCTCCTCTGCCCCTTGGCCTCTGGCCTACAGTGTTCCCCAAGGTAGCATTTTGTCCCCCATACTTTTCAATATCTATGTAAAGCTGCTAGGAGAAGTCATCCAGAGATTTGGGCTGAGTTGCCACCAATAAGCAGAAGACAGCCAGCTCTCACACTATCAGCAGATCTCAAGGAGGCTGTGAACACCATGGACAGGTGCCTGGAGGCAGTTTTGGAATGGATGAGGGCTAACAAAATGAAGCTTAATCCTGACAAAATGGAGGTGCCACTGGTGGGGGGAATGTCTGATCCAGGAAATGAGTTATCCCCTGTTCTGGATAAGCTTGCACTCCCCCTAAAGAAGAAGGTTCGCAACTTGGGAGTACTCCTGGACCCAGGCCTCCTGTTAGATAAACAAGTGGCAACAGTGGCCAGGGGTGCCTTTCACCAGCTTTGCTTTGGCTGGTGAGCCAGCTGTGGCTTTTCCTGGCCAGAAAAGATCTTGCCACTGTGGCGCGTGCCCTAGTAACTTCTAGATTAGATTACTGCCATGTGCTCTGTGTGGGGCTATCCTTGAAGACTGTCTGGAAGGTGCAGTTGGTACAGAATGCTGTGGCCAGAGTATTGACTAGGGTGAGATGTAGGGACCATATCACTCCATTCTTGTTCCATTTATGATGGCTTCCAGTTTGCTTCCAGGGTCAATTCAGGATGCTGATATTGACCTTTAAAGACCTATATGGTTTGGGAGTGGGACCAACATAACTTAAAGATTGCCTTCCCCCACATGAACCTACCCATTCACTCCAGTCATCTTCGGAGGCCCTGCTTTGGTTGTCCCCGGAAACTGAGGCTAATGGTTGAAAACCCAAGAAAGGGCTTATTTGGTCATGGCACCAAAACTTTGGAACTCCTTCTCCAAGAAGGTCTATCTCCCTCCATTGGTGTCTTCTGCCAGTCGGTGGAGATTTTTTTTAAATTTTGTTTGGCATACCTCCAATAACCATTATTGGCCCTCCTTCCTGGTTCTGGTGTTGTTAGTTTACATGAAACTGCTTTATAGTGAATCAGACCTGTGGTTCATCAGATTCAGTACTGTCTATGCCAGGAGTGTCAAACATGTGGCCCAGGGGTCAGATCAGGCCCCCGGAGGGCTTCTATAAGGCCTGCAGTGGAACTGGCTGTCTTCTGCTTTTTCTTCCAGTTCTGATGCTGCTGCATCATCGTAGGCTTGCAGCTTACAGATACACACCTGAACAGCATACTCAATATTGCAACAGCACAGACATTTTGATGCAATAATTCAGAGCAAGAGGTGTCAGTTATCAGACACTGTTAAATAAAATATTACAAGAGTGCTATTTTAAGCATGTTTTTATTTTAAGTAAAAAAAAAACCCTTTGTGTTTGTGTCCTTTATAAAGTTTATATCTCCACTACCTGACATTACATTTTATGACACACATGGCTCGGCCCAACAAAGTCTCATTTATGTCAGATCCAGCCCTCTTTACAAATGAGTTTTACACCCCTGGTCTATGCAGACTGGCAGCAGTTTTCCAGGGTCTCAGGCAGAGGTCTTTCACATTACCTACTGCTAGATCTTTCAACTGGAGATACTGGGGACTGAACCTGTGACCTTATGCATGCCAAGCAGATGCTCTACCACTGAGCCACAGCCCCTCCACGTTTTTATTGAATTATTTTATTATTTTAAATGTTAGTTTTTAATTGTCTATATGTTTTAATGTTTTTACGTGCACCACCTAGAGGACTCTGATCAGGTGGAAAGGCAGAATAAAACTGTTTTAAATAAAAAAAATAAACTTGACTTGTTAGAGAAGATCAGGACTACAGGTACCGCAAGACCTTTCATATCTATACAGGGACATTAGAAGAGTGGGTTTCAAAGTTTCCACTGAATTCTTTCATCCAACAATCCTTTATCTCACCCACTAGTTCGGCATTCTGACAACATTACCACCAGTTACTCCTGCCCCCACTCCCATATTTCACATCAGAAATATGGCAATTAACAAGGCACCCACATTACCTCAGTCAGTTGTGATATACCTTTAAAACCTTGTGATAGGCAAAGAAGAAGAGATTGGATTTATACTCCGCCCTTCACTCGGGAGTCTCAAAGCAGCTTACAAACTCCTTTCCCTTCCCCTCCCCACAACAGACACGCTGTGAGGTGGGCAGGGCTGAGAAAGCTCTTTCCAGAACTGTCCTTGAGAGAATAGCTCTGACAGAACTATGGCTTGCCCAAGGTCATCCAGCCAGGTGCAAGTGGAGGAGTGGGGAATCAAACCCGGTTCTCCCAGATTAGAGTCCGTGCACTTAACCACTGCATCAAACTGGCTCTAAGGACTGAGCTTTCCTGAAGAAACCATTTTAGGGTGAAGCCTACCTTGTTTCTGCAGTTAGAGTGAGAACATTATTCAGATAGTCCCTCATCCAGGCAGAAACTGCTAACACTGTGATGGACATCAACTGAAAAAAAGCAGGGATTTTTATTTAGCAAACACTTCTTATTTAGAGCAGGCCCTGTTATTAAAACAGCTTTATCAGCAGTGTGCCCTTACACAGAATATTTTTTTTCTGTACTTAGAGCCACAAGCAGATGTATTACCAAAGCATTACTTCTTTAAACACAGCAATCTGCTCCTCTCCAATTTAATAATACCTTGGAAGACCACATTTCTCAACGGAATGTTTTCAGGTCTTGACTGGGTTCCTCAAAACTGTACTCCCCAGAGAGAGTATAAGCCTTGAGGTTTTATTTGCTGCTTGCTGTAACATTAATAATTCCTACCAAGATTTCATAATAGAAATCCACAAGCTACCATGACATAAAAAGTCAGCAACCTGTGAAGGAAAACGTGGTACCATTGTATAAACAATTACCAGATTACTAGTACAAAAGAAAAAGTAGCTTTGTTCATGCTGGTAAATAAAACACTTGTGTGGCTATGGCAGAACAAACAGTCAACTCAGACGCAAGAATTAAGTTATATTTAATGAGATCAATTCAACTTGCTGATTTTCAAAAAAAAAATGCAGACTTTTGAACAATGCCTGGTGTTATCAGACATGGGTTGATAAGAGCAAAAATCAAAATAAATGAGATTATAAAATGCATACAGTACAAGGATTGAACACATCATACGTGTAATACCATTGGGTAGCCCCACCATGTGGACCAAAAACTCTGCAGGGGAGCTAAAATTAGGTTTTCTGCAAACCCTGAGAAACCTCCAGGTTTACAGAAAAATCCTAAAACTTAAAAAAAAAATGTGGATAGTTAAAACCCCACACAATAGGACAAGCAATATCTGCATAGACACTGTGAAAGGGAACCATGGGAATTCTTGCCAGTTGAGATTTCATGAGAACACCTCACAGTATTTTGACCACCATTTTGGTTGCCTAGGCAACTCAACAAAATTCTGAGACCCAAGAAGAGGTGAGGAGGTACAGAAGATGGAAGTATGAGTGGGGAGACAGAACATGGGACCTGAGAATGGGAAGGAAAGGAAAGCCGAAGAGCAGGAAAAGCAGTACCCCAGGAGAGAGAGTTGAGGGTGTCAGGAAAGCATGAGTCACAGACAGACAAGAATAAGGGAGACATAGTAGAGGCTGAAAGTGGGGAGGGAAGGAGAGCACTGGGATGAGGGAAAGCAGCACTGAGAAGAGACAGGTGAAGGGGAAAGGATGTGGAGATGGGAGGGAACAAACTGGAAACCAAGGAAGCAGAGATCACCAGGGTTGGGTGGAGGGAAGAAGAGCTAGAGAAAGCATGGAGGAAAGGGTAGGAAAAGCAAAAGTCAGCAAGGGGAAGCAGGCACAGTGCAGTCTGTTCTGTTGTAACCAACCAGTCATGGTTTGTAATGTCCTGTCCAGATTTTCTGGGGCAGAGTCCGGGGAGCCATCCATCAGTAGATAGAGCCGGGTGTCATCCACGTAAGGTGACAACCCAGCCCATACCTCCGGATAATCTGGGCAAGGGGGTGCGTGTAGATATTAAACAGCACTGGGGAGAGAATCGACCCCTGCATCACACCACATTCTAGCAGGTGGCAACCCTAACAGTGCAGGTAGGGAACCAAAGGGAATTGACACTACTCTGCTCCATAAGTCTTCCTGAGTTCTGGTTCGTAATGTATAAAAAACAAAGTAGCAAATTATTACATAAGGACACTACCAGTATCATACTCAGTCACCAAATGCAAGTCCAAACAAAAAGGACAAAGAAGGTCAAATTGGGCTTTCACAGTCTTCAGAGAGAAGGCATAGTTGCATAATAACTGCTTGTATCCTCATCACTCAGCTTTGATCCACAAAAAATAATCTAAAGGGCATTATGAATTTATATTAGAGTCAAGCTCATTGGGTATAACAAACTGGCTGTTATTATTGTTAGTTGTTAGCATTGTTTAGATTCTAACAATCTTTCAAAGTTCTGTAGAAGACCAGGCAGATATAACACTGGTCCAGACTGAACCCAATGATTTATACTGCTTTAGGCCAGTCCAATTCTAAATAAAGACTGTACTACTAACTCCCTAACCATTTTTAAGGAGCGAGAACTGGGCTGCAGGACTGAAGGCTCCTCTCTCATTCTCGTTTAGCTTAATAACATTTATACAAATGTTGATGTCATGGGGGGAAACGTAAGATTTGTTTTCACTTTCCATGCATCTTCCTTCTTGGAGGTCCAGGAGTGGGGCAGTCCTTTACTACTGGGATATAGCTCCTCCTCTCTGCAGGCAGGGTCAACCAGCTTTTGTGATCCCGGAGGGGAGGGGCTTGTCCCTGGAGTCCTCGGTCTATTTCTAATCTGTGACTCTCCCTCAAAGGTAAACAGTAACTCTAAAGGAAATGATATGAAAATTTCCCAAATAACTAACATTAACTACAAAGGACCTCTCTAGTCATATGATCCTTGGCTGAACTAAGCCGAAATCACTCACCAGTTTACAGCCCTTACCAGACCTAAAGAAGGGCGGCCAGCAAACTCCCTCTAACAGCAGACCCCAAACACACTAGGAGGTATGCCAGAGAAAGAAACTCGGGTGGGTAAGACTGCCCCACTCCTGGACCACCAAAACGGTAGATTCACGATAAGTCAAAACAAATCTTCCATTCTCCAGTGGTCCTAGGAATGGGGCAATCCTTTATTACTGGGACACAGAAAAGCAGTGTGCCCCAGGGAGGAAAAACCAGCTCCTGGGCCTAAAGGTAAGACCCTCCTGCCAAAGTCCACTTCTGCTGAGGCCACTTTGTCTATTCTGTAATGTCTGGTAAAAGAATGAACAGACTTCCAGGTAGCAGCCTTACAAAATGTTTCCAATGAAGGAAAGGATCTAGAGGCTGTGGAGGTTGCTGCCCCCCTTAGGGAATGGGCTGTGGTGCCCAGAGGCAGATTCATCTCTGAGGCTTTATATGCCAGGATAATGCACCCCCTGATCCATATACTGAGGGTGGATGTGGATTCTCTTTAGCCCAAGGAAGACTTCCTAAAAGACACATACAGTGAACCAGTTTTGTAAAACAGTTTGGTTCGATCAATGTAAAAACTCAAAGCCCTTCTCACATCTAAGCAATGTCATTCCTTCTCTTTATCGTGTTTAGGATTGGGACAAAAGGAGGGAAGAATCACCTCTATCATCCTATGGAAGGTGGAATTTACTTTTGGTATGAAAGCTGGGTCAGACTGCAGCACTATCCTATCCTTGTGGAACAAGCATAGTTCTTTATCCACAGAAAGAGCCCTAAGCTCAGAAACTAGTCTAGTTGATGTGATAACCACGAGGTATCTTAAATGATCTTAAACATTAATTCCTTGAGTGGGCATGAGGCCATGGGCCTGAAGGGAATTTTGGATAGTGCCTTCAGTATCAGAATCAATTTCCAGGTGTGGAAATTATGAACCTGTGGAGGGCTTAATAAGAACCTCTTGATATGAGGATGCTGGACCAGGGATTTCCCTTTCCTAGTGCTTCTCATGGCTGAAATAGCCAAAACCTGCCCTTTAAGGGTACTGGTGCTGAGCTCCTTATCTAATCCCTCCTGCAGAAAGGAGAGCACCTCACTAACTGGAATTGAGAGTCCAAACCCTGTTTCTGGCACCAGGTTTGGAACATCTGCCAGGTGTTATTTGTTGATCCTTTCCTGGAATCTAACATGGTCTTAATCACGCCCTCTGAATAACCTATTTGTATCAACTGAATTGGAGGGAACCTATTTGTATCAACTGAATTGGAGGGAAGGCGTACAATAGCTGCCATGGCCATTCACAACTCAAGGCATCTACCCCAATGACTTGAAGATTTCTTGCTCTTGTCATGAACCTTGGAACTTGAAAGTTTTGATCCATGGCAAATAGGTCCATGTCCACCTTGCCGAAATCTGTGACAAATCTGGTGGAAAACATCCTTGTTTAGCATCCATTCTGATTGGTTCAAAGTCCTTTGACTCAGCCAATCCACTAACAAATTGTCCTGAGCAGCTACATGAACTGCTTTCAGGAATTTGAGATGACTCTCCACCCAGAGCATTAGGGTACTTGCCTCCTGGTGAAGGGACCTATATCTGGTGCCCCCTTGCCTGTTCACATAAGCCTTGGCTGTCATGTTGTCCATCTGAACTAGCACATGGCAGGGGTCATTTCGTAGAAAAAGAGCTAGGGGGACTCATTAGCATAACTCATTAGCATATGCCACACCCCCTGACATCACCGGAAGTGTGTCCTCCCCACAGCCGGCGGCGACCTCCAGCGGGCACCAGCAGGGAGCTCCTCCAATAGGCCTAGCCTGATAGCTCTGAGTTCTTCTCCAGATGCCCCGAATAATTCTTTCTAGAGGATGTGCCCCCCCATCCAGAAAGGCTTGCATCCATGGTCATCATAACTCTCGTGGGTTCCCCCATTCTGAATCCCCTTGTTCTTATATGTTTGTTCAGCCAATTGAGTTCCAGAATTGGCACTATCTTCTTTGACACTATGAAGAAAAATAAGTAAACCCCCAAGGCCCTCTGTGCTTCTGGCACCGGATCTATCGCCCAAATGTCCAAGATCCTGGATGGCCTGTTCCAGGAATAAGTGCCTCTGATTGGAATGATTTCTTGGCACCTGGAGAAAACAATTGGGTGGAATGGTACTGAATTTCAGACAGTAGCTGTTTGCTACTGTGTCTAGCACCCATTTGCCGCTCATGGTGTATTGCCAGCAGGTTGTGAACATCTGTAGATGTGCCCTGACTCTTGGGGTGTCTGTTAATTCGGCATAGTCATGCTGAAGATCCCTCTGTGGATCCCTTCGGGTTTGGCCCAGATTTGCTGAAGGAAGATGTTCTGTTATCCTCTCACTGCTTGGACTGCCATCTTCCTTTAAAGGACCTAGCTGAGCTGGCATGTGAAGGTCACTTGGACTCTCGAAAGGACAAGGAAGTGTTTCTTGGGCTTGATGTCGTTTTTTCTGGGAGGGCAATGCT